GAATCACTGTCAGATGCAATGCGCTTCATGTGGCTGCCCTCATCCTCAGATCCAGAACCACCATCTCTTTCTTGTCTGTATGGGAGAAAGTGTTCTAATCAATATTCTGTTGATTTACTAAGTTTGTGACAATTGTGTTAGTCTACATATGCATAAAGTCTTCGCTTTACCTGTCTTCAGCTATTTTCAGTCCATCCTCATCTGAAGAGGATTCAGAAGAGGAGATAATGGCCTTAGACTTGATCTTTCCTTTGAGAGAAGGTGGCAGACGCTCAGGCTGGAACTGAAAATGAGGAAGATGTTAAAATTCATGAAAGAAGGCCTGAAAATACATTTTAAAAAGATTCCAAGACCATGAATCATGACACAAAAGCAGAACAAAGACCTTTTCCATCTTCTTGCGGTCTTTGGGTCTGCGCTTGTTGGGTCGGGAAGCTCCTTCCTCTTCATCACTATCATCTCCCCTAGCAGGTCTGAAACACAAGACGGTTTTCTTTTAGGATCTACATTTCTTGCTCTACAGTCAAAGTAAACCACATTTATCGTTTGCTGCAGCACATTCACCTCCTCCTTTTCTTCTTCTTCTCTCCATCCTCAATCTCCTCCTGCTCGCTACCACTTCCACCCTTTCTCTTCTTCTTCTTCACTGGCAAGTCCTCATCAGAGTCGTCGTTGACAAACTCATCCATGTCACCGCCTTTTTTACGCTTGGGGATAAGAAAGGAAGTATGTTATGCATGTTGGATTCAGTGCAATTCAGAGTTTGATGAATTTTCTATCAGTGCTAACACTCACACGTCCTCCACTGTTGCCTCCCTTCTTCTTTTCTTTGGGCATTTCCTTCGAACCTTCTGCGAACATGAGCAGGTTCTTGGTCTTCTCCACAAACAGAGTTCTCTGCTCCAGGAGCTTCTTTTGTTCCTCAGCCTCTCTGTTTCGCTTTTCCTCCTAATGAGGTTTGAGGGTGATTTGCCAAGAATCAATTTATTACAGCTCAAAATCAAATGTGATGATGAGCTATTACCAAAAAGGTTTACATTTTTAAATGGTAGCACCAGAAGTACCTGTTCTTTTAACATCTGCTGGCGTAGGAGGTCCCTCTCCTGTTCTTGTTTGGCCCGGAGCTCCTTCTCCTCCTCGTCCTGCTTTCTGGCTCTGGCTACGTGGTACTGAGCCTGACTCAGCAGGTCATTGCATTGCCTGCAATCCCACAACGCACCCACAACCCCCCCAGCATTAGATTACAGCCCATGCCATGAACACAGCGCCAGAACAATCCCATGAAAAACACTGTAATGGACCAAAATTCATTCATATCTGTTGATATTAACTTAAAAATACAACTACTATTGAAGCCAGTGCTGGTTTATCTTTGAGACCAATCATTGTTAAAGTGTTAGACAAGTGCAATAACTGGTTATAAATTCTTATATCTGTCCTTGAAAGCACTCAAACCTTAAGCATGCAGTATGAGGATAAATTCAGACTGACCTGGCCTCAGAAGCAGCTAGAGCAAGGTCAAACCTCATCTTGTCTCCAGCCTTGCTGAGGTAGCTGAAATACCTGTGTGAGGAAGAGGTGGAGGGTGAGAGAGAGGTAAAATTGCAGGATTGTGCGGATCAGACTGGAAGGAGAGAATCTAATGCAATTACCTGTGAGCCAGTTCAAGCTCTTTGACAGCGCTGAGCACAGCCTTCAAGTTGCTCTTCTCATCTTTCAGCACAAGAGTGGCCAGTCTCTGGAGCACCAGGGCTACATTGAACATCAGCACCGTGTCGCTTGGTGCCACGTGACGGGCCTTTTTGGACACAGGTCAGAAAGACAAAGTTGTACTCTCATCATATTTTAGAATACATTAAAGCCTTGGTTTCGTTTTGCATTTTACCTTCAGTAGCATCTGCTTGCACTCTTGGAGCTTCCCACATTTGAAGAGCGCCCTTGCGAGGTACAGCAGCACCTCAGTGTTCTGGTATTTGTAAAATTTCTTCAGGCAGTTTTCATACTATGGAGAAGATCAAAATAACTCGCTGCACACACCAAAATGTGACCAAAGTCAAGAACTTTCAAAAGATTATCACAAGTAAGACCCTTACCATCTGCACAGCGCTGATGTACTGCTTCTGTTCAACATAGATGTGAGCCAGATTTAGCCAGACGTCACTGATGTCTGCTGTGGCCTCCCTCACTTGTGCAAACACATCACGAGCCTCCCTGAAGTAGCCCTTATGGGCAAGGACAGCACCTGGATAAAACCACTCTATGCTTAATATGACATACACATACAGCAGAATGAATGAAACAATTAAAATACATAAGAGTAAAGCGCAACAGACCGATGCCATTGGCAGCGTAGAGGTTCTTGGAGTCATTTCTCAGGACTTGCTTGTAAATCGCCAGGGCTCGGTCCTGGTGTCTCTTTTCCTGTGAGGACAGAAACACTAATTTATGGTTTCCAATCACATAAACAAAAAACAACAGAGTCAGCCTCTTAGCTGTAGTTAACTTCAAGTTCATACCACCTGCACTGACCAGTTAGGGAGTTAAAGCTTTGCCCACACTGACAATTTCTGTTTACACACTTCAGACTCAGGTTGAATCTTGATTTTTAATCAGGCAGATAACATGCAATACATCTACAGGCTTCAAACATCTTAGAGTTGGTAATCATGTCAAATTAACAAAAACACATGCTAGTTTGTTGACACAAGCCTAAATAGTTATTAATCATTAACATAAAAACAAACAGCTGTCTGAACCTTTTCCCGGTCTCTGGTGGGCTGGTGCAGAGTCTGCAGCCACACGTTTCCCAGAGCCAGCATGGAGTAGGTGTCATTCTGTGTGGATGGCTGCTTCAGGATACGCTCAAACTTCTTTTGACCCGGCCCCCATTCTTGTTTGGCCAAGTGAAGATTTCCTATCAAGGACCAGGCGTCTGGGTGATCCTGTACCAAACATCGGATAATGTTGAAGTTTTGAATCAGACTTTACATATCGATGTTGTAATATTGAGTGAACAGCAGGTGACAAAGTACCTGATTAATCTGCAGAGCTTCTTTGAACCAGTCAGAGGCTTCGTAGAAGTTTCCTTTATCACGAGCCATCGCTCCAAGACGCAAATAGCCTGTGGGTCACAAAATGTAAATTAAAAACAAACTAGTTTCTCTGTGGGCTCACACTGTACATTATGCATGCAGAATGCTTACAGTCCACATAATTAGGATGCTCTCGGAGGATGTTTTTGTAGAGTTTCTCAGCTTCGTGGAATTCACACATGGCCTCATACAGACGGGCCAGATTGTATGAGGTGGTCACAGAAATGGCATTGTAGTAATGCTCGTCGTGCTCTCCCTCAGCTTTGGCTCGGTCCAGAGATGCTAGAAAATATTTCTTTAGGAGAGAAGACATGAAAACACCGACCTTGAAATTGTACTATTGTTCATGTTAACATATGGCATTCTGCCCACTTCAAGATCATTACATAATCACAGTGCAGAAAACATGTTATTGTGCTGTCTAATCAGTTACCATTCCACATTATGTTTGATATTAGTGCATGAATTTGCTGCTAAACGTAGATATTTTAGGACATCAGGCCACAGTAGCTACCTTGGCCTCTCCCAGGTTGCCCAGTCTGAAGTGCAGAGCTCCCAGGTTGTTGAGGATCTCGGGGGGAACGTCGGCCTGCACCTTCTCCTGCAGGATGCGTGTTGCAGTGCCATAAGCAGACAGCGCTCCTTGGATGTCAGTCTGCTCCAATATCTGAGCCAGCTCGATCCAGGCCTCCACATCATCTGGATACTGCTCTGTTACCTTCTTCAAATGACCCTAAGGAACAAGAACAGTGACATCTCTAAAATGCCCACTGAACATATTCCAACACGATTTTCTGCGA